ATGCTAAATATTCTTTTCTTTTGTCAGTGTTTGATTTTGACTTTTGTTTGGCTTATTTTCTAAGGTCAAGATTGAGGACATGTTGCTTTATGTCTTACCAGGTCTTCACTTTGTTCTATGCAATAACCTTTTCTTTTTTTTAAAGCATTAAAAGCATGTTATCAAGCATACACAAATGCAGAGAGAATGATAGTTTAATGAGTCACCATGTACCCAGTCAGTACTCTGCCTCAGCGGTTACCAACATTGCCACTCTTGTTTCACCTACCTCCCCATCCTGTGGCCCATGATTTTATGGAAGAATTTTGTTGTAATGCAGTTTAATAATGGTATTTAAAAAGTATATATCCTGAAGCTTTTGAAATAATTGAAATAGTAATTACTGAAAACATTAGTAGATACCACCATAGCATGTAATTTACCCAATAAAACTATGTGGTGAAGTATATGTATGAAAATTTCAAGTGATCTCCAAGCCCTTAATGATTCCATAAATATGGAACTTAATCAGTTACTAAGCTATTAAAATAAATTCTGAATGGAATAAAGCAGTTTTTCAGATTTTCTCAATAAAGCGGTTTTTCAGATTGCTTTTTCTTTCATTCCAGACATTGACAGGCACAAACATAACTGCATCACTACAGAATTTGACATGCCTTTCTTTAATCTGTTAAATAAAATAAATAAATAGATAAGTATTTTAAGTTTTATTTATTTGAGAAAGTGAATAGGAGCAGGGGGAGGGGTAGAAGGAGAGGGAGAAACGGATTCCCTATGGAGCAAGGAGCCTGATGCGGGCTCAATCCCAGGACCCTGGGATCATGACCTGAGCTTAAGGCAAACGCTTAATGACTGAGTCACCCACGTGCCCCAGTTTTTCTCTTAAAACTGCTGGCACTCTTTTATCCTATCATCCCTTCCCAAAAAGTAGTGTAAAATTTTGCTTTGTTCTCAAGTTATAGTGTCCCAGATATTAGTTAAGTCTGAAATCATGGGGTTTTGCTCTTTGGTGAAGAACTTTTTGTATGAAACTATGATTCTAGCCCAGAAGTGTAACAGGAGTTCCTGCCCTTGAGTTCCAAGCATTATTTTTAATGTTTCATATCTTTCATGCATTCTTCCTTATACCATTCAGATTTTCCTCAAGACCTCCCTGTCTTGGTCCACAGATTATCTTTAGGTATCTTTCATTTGCTTCTGTCTTTGTTTAGACAAGTATGTTTGTATGTATGTATTAATGCATATATGTATATATATATATTTAAGGTAGTTTATTATTTTTTTTAAGTGAACTCTGTCCATAATATGGGGATTGAACTCATGACCCCAAGATCAAGAGTTGCATGCTCTACCTACTGAGCCAGCCAGGTGACCCCAACAAGTATTTATTGAGTGCTAGTTAATATGCAGATACTATTTTACAAGGTCTGTTATAAGCAGTTGTTACCATCTCCGCTAAATTTCTTAGTTTTCTAGTGAGAGGTATGAACTCTTAATGAGGAATAATTTCATAATTTTCCCCAGTTTTATTGAGATAGAATTGACATGGAGCACTGTGTAAGTTTAAAGTGTACAGCATAATGATTTGACTTACATATACTGTGAAATGATTACAACCCTAAGTTTGGTTTTAACATCCATCACCTCGTATAGAAACAAAAACCTTCCCATTGTGATGAGAACTTCTAGGATTTACTCTCAACAACTGTCAGGTACACCATACAGCAGTGTTAACTGTAGTCGTCGTATTGTACACTACATCTCTAGTACTTATCTTTCATTGGAAGTTTGTACTTTTGACCACCTTCATCCAGTTTTCCCACCACCCCCTGCCTTGTAACCATAAATCTTAAGTGAGATCATACTTTGTCTTCCTCTGTCTGACTTATTTCACTTAGCATAATGCCTTTGAGGTTCATCTACATTGTTGCAGATGGCAGGATTTCCTTCTTTCGTTATAGCTGAATGGTGTTGTATATGAACCTCCTTTTCCTCTGTCTTAGGGCTGAAGGTTTGATACTGTCCTCCTACTTTAGTTTAGGACTCACTTATGAGTTCTTGTTTTTTAAAAGAACACACGTCTCGGGGCGCCTGGGTGGCTCAGTGGGTTAAAGCCTCTGCCTTCGGCTCAGGTCATGATCCCAGGATCCTGGGATCGAGCCCCACATCAGGCTCTGTGCTCAGCAGGAGCCCACTTCCCTTCCTCTCTCTCTGCCTGCCTCTCTGCCTACTTGTGATCTCTCTCTGTCAAATAAATAAATAAATAAATAAATAATCTTTAAAAAAAAAAAAAAAACACACGTCTCGGTGCCATCATCCATGTGCACGTGTGTGTGCATGTGTGAGCACATGTGCATGTGTATCAGGGTGGAGAAGGGTATTGAGGCCTGAGGGCTGCAGTCCCAAGGAGTTTGGGTCTCAAAGGATCCTTGCATATCACTTTAAGTCAAAAATGGCTGCTGTTAAGGAAAGCAAACATGCTCTTTCAGAGTCTTTTGCAAAGAGTACTGAGCCAGATGTACTAATCATGTCTAACAGTTTTCCTCCTAGTGCACACAGAGACACAGCTTAGATGGTTAAGTCACAGGCAAGATGGGAAAAAATTCTTTGAAGATTAGATTCTGAATTTGCTTAGATATTTGTTGTTTTGTAATTCCTAAAATTGTTCAAACCCTAAAAAAGTCATTTTCCATTGTTTTGCCCATTCTACCGCTTAGAATATTAAGTTCCTGGTATTAAATCCCTAATATTTTTTCTCTTGAACTTGCCTCATTCAAGTCTCCTTCCAGCCTTTTCGGAGTAGAGTCCTTCTTAATATGTTCACTCTTCTTAATGTCATTCCCCCATCTTCATTGCTGTAATCTGGATCTTTTCCAGTTCATTTTATATTTATGAGGTGTATCGGTCAGAACTACGACCACATTAGGGCACACTGTAGCCTTATATGAAGATAGGATGTGATGGTCTTTTTATTTTTTATTTTTATTTTTTTTTAAAGATTTTATTTTTTTGACAGACAGAGATCACAAGTAGGCAGAGAGGCAGGCAGAGAGAGAAAGGAGGCTCCCTGCTGAGCAGAGAGCCGGAATCGGGGCTTGATCCCAGGACCCTGAGACCATGACCTGAGCTGAAGGCAGAGGCTTAACCCACTGAGCCACCCAGGTGCCCCTATTTTTTAGTTTTTAATGCCTTTCTTCATTTCATAGTTTTCTAGTATTTTATTGGTTTCTTCATCTCCAAATTAAAGTGTTCACTGAAGTCTGCAGGGAACTCCTAGGTCCTTTTTCTAGATGAAGAACTATAGTTTTTGGGATGCCTGGGTTGCTCAGTCAGTTAAGCGTCTTCCTTCAGCTCAGGTCATGATCCTGGGTCCTGGGATCCAGTCCTTGCTTGGTGGGGACCCTGCTTCTGCCTCTCCCTCTGCTCCTCCCCCAGGCTTATACTCTCTCTCTCTGACAAATAAATAAAATCTTTTAAAAAAAGAACTATAGCTTTTTCAATATACAAACAATATATATGTGTTTTAGTGAAAATTTGGAAACGAAAGAAAGTAAAAAAGAAAGAAAATTGTTCATAGTCCAGTCAAGACCCATTTTGTGTTTTTGTTGTATTTGCCTATTATCTCTTTTTCCTCTGGATGATATTTTTATATATGAGTATGCATTTTCATATATTTTCTTACATATTAGTCAGCATTTTCCACACTTTAAATGCTTTATAAAATTTTTTCTTAACTGCATATTAGGATTCAGTGAATGAATAAGTTCCTAATTCACTTAACCATTAGTCCACGCTACGGTTTAGTGAAAAGATGCTATTGGAAAGACTTTCGGGACACCTGGGTGGCTCAGTGTGTTAAAGCCTCTGCCTTTGGCTCAGGTCATGATCTCAGGGTCCTGGGATTGAGCCCCGCATTGGATTCTCTGCTCAGCGGGGAGCCTGCCGCTACCCACCCCCCTCCCGGCCTCTCTGCCTATTTGTGATCTCTGTCTGCCAAATAAATTAAAAAAAAAAAAAGAAAGACTTTCACGTTATAAAGTATTCTATATCATTTTTAAAGATCTTGTTCTTACATTGCCAGCTGTTTCATTTTTAATAACGCATTTCTGGATATTATTAAATATTCATGTAAGTTAAAATATTTGGACAAATATTTATCATCAAAACATACATCTCTATATTTTTTTTTTATGAAATCTAATGGCTTGGACATTGTTTTTTTCTTCCAAGTAAGCTATACACTCAGTGTGGGGCTTGAACTCACAACCCCAAGATCAGCAGTCACATGCTGTACCATCTGAGCCAGCCAGTCGCCCTGGGAATTGTTTTCTTAAAGAAACTTTCTCCCCTAGATAATGTTGGTACACTGTAAGACTTTAATACCTTTTGGATACTCATTAAAATGATTATTTCTCAAGGTACTTCCCCTTGGTAGTTGGAGGATAACATCTATTCCATAACTATTTCTGCTTGGCCACTGTTTCTTTTTATCCGATTAGAGGTTGTGTGTGCTGTTTTTATTTCATTTCTATATTGTCCTCCTGAAAGATATAGTTGGGGACAGCATCAGACTTGAAATCACATGCACTCTGTGAGCATAGTAAATATCAATTACTTAATTTAAAAAAGATTTTATTGATTTTAGAGAGAGAGACTGAGAGAGCACAAGCAGGAGGGACAGGGGAGGGAGAGAGTATCTGCAGTAGGCTTCCCGCTGAGCACAGAACCCATTGCGGACCTTGATCTCATGACCCTCATGATCGACCCTGAGATCATGACCTGAGCTGAAACCAATTTTCGGATGCTTAACTGACTGTACCACCCAGGCGCCCCAGTAAACATTAATTTAAAAATGATTCTGACTTACTTGAGAGAAAATGCTTAAGATCAGTGGTAGCTTGCCAGTAGTATGATTTAGAATAGTATTCAGCATATGTCCGGTGGAATAGTCTGTTGCTTCACAGTGACGCCTCAACTTTTGTCTGCCCTTCCATTTCCAGATTGCCATCACGAAAGCCAAAGTGGATTTCTCCAGTGTAGTGTGCCTGCCCCCTTCCGTCATTGCTGTGAATGGGCTGGACGGAGGAGGGGCTGGCGAAAACGATGATGAACCAGTGCTGGTGTCCCTGTCTGCGGCCCCCAGCCCCCAGAGCGAAGCTGTTGCCAATGAACTGCAGGAGCTCTCCTTGCAGCCCGAGCTGACCCTAGGCCTCCACCCTGGCAGGAATCCCAATTTGCCTCCACTTAGTGAGCGCAAGAATGGTGAGTACATATGGAATTATTGCATTGCCTAATTTGAACCAAGGTCTTCATGTTCGTGATCATTACTTTATTTCATGTCTCTTGAAAGTTTCTTTACTCTTACTATTCTTATGGAGTAGAGAAATAGTAAGTTTAGGTGATCATTATAAGCCCAGCATTTCCTGCCTGGGTTATTACAACTGCTTTCTGATTTGTCTTTGTACTTCTCTGCTTCTCCCTCCCAACCCCTTCCATAAATTCATTAATTAAGCAAATATTTATTGAACATCCCTATCATAAACTGTACTAAGATTAGGAGTTAAATGACAAATAAGCCTTTGTCATTAGGAAACTTACCCTATACCTCGTCAGAGTAATCTTTTAGACCTCCCTAGCTTAATAGTTTTCAGTGACTGCTCTGTGGGGTAAAAACAAAAGTCATGTTTTACAAGGCTTGCAGGGTCTGGTGTCTTTCTGTTTCATTAGCTTCTCTTTTCATTCCCCCATTCCTAGTCTTTGGTTTTTAAATTTAAAAAAAAAAAATTACTAGAGAGAGAGAGAGAGCACATACATCTTTATGTGTGAGCAGAGGGAGAGGGAGAGAATCTTAAGAAGATGCCTCACTGATCACTGAGTCTGACAATTCAGGGCTTGATCTCACAACCCTGAGATCATGACCTGAGCTGAAATTAAGTCAGATGCTTAACCGACTGAGCCACCCAGGCACCCATAGTTTTTGCTTTTTATTTTATTTTATTTTTAATTTTTAAAGATTTATTTATTTTGAGAGAGAGAGAGAGGGAGCATGTGAGCATGGCAGGGGTGGCACAGAGGAAGAGGGAGAGAGAGAGAATTTCAAGCAGACTCCAAGCTGAGCATGTGGAGCCCTGCGTGGGGCTCATTTCCACAACCCTGAGATCATGAGTAAAACCAAAACGAAGAGTTGGATATTTAATCAACATTGCCACACACGTGCCCCAGTTTTTGCTTTTTAGTACTGTTTAAAAGAATGCACTCTTTTTTTTTTTTTAATTTTATTTATTGATTTGACAGACAGAAATCACAAGTAGGCAGAGATGCAGGCAGAGAGAGAGGGGGAGGCAGGCTCCCCGCTGAGCAGAGAGCCCGACTTGGGGCTCGATCCTAGGACCCTGAGATCATGACCCGAGCTGAAGGCAGAGGCTTAACCCACTGAGCCACCCAGGCGCCCCTAAAAGAATGCACTCTTTCTTCAAACTTTTGTTAATTAAATAACTATAATTTGTTATAAAAACAAGATTTCAGAAAAGATGTGAATAGTAATATAGCAAATATTTATATATGCACATGCCATCTGTCTTATGCACTGTTGTCCATGGATCTCTATCCATCCCCTGGGTAACTACTGCCCTGAATTTGATATTTTATTGCCAAGTATTTCTGTATTTTTTAACATATGAATATATTCCTAATAATTGTAAAATATTATTTCTCCTTTTTTATATCACATAAATATTTATTGGAGAGAATTATGTGTATTCTTCTGCAACTTGTGTTTGTTCAATTTTTATTTTCCTTTGAGTTATTAAAAGTATTCTCTAAGTGCATCTCATCTAATCTATGAATCATTATTTATCAAAAAGTCTTACTTTTCTGTACTGATTTTTTTTTTTTTAAAGATTTTATTTATTTGAGAGAGCACAAGCAGGGGGAGTGGCATGGAGAGGGAGAAACAGGCTCCCTGCGGAGTAGGGGAAACCCAGTATGGGACTGGATCCCAGGACTCCGGGACCATGACCGGAGCCGAAGAGAGGGGCTTAGCCAACAGAGCAGCGCAGGCTCCCGTCTGTATTGATCTTTAGTGTCAGCCTTATCTGTTTCTCAGTGTGCGTGAGTTCGTTTTTATGTCCTTCTGTTCGGTTTCACCGGTCTCTGTTTACCTGTGTTACAACTAGTAACTAGTCATCTTAGTTACTACTGCTTAATGACTAGTTTTGTTATTTGTTAGAACAGTCTTTTTCTTGCCTTTTTTTTTTTTTTTAAGATTTTATTTATTTATTTGACAGACAGAGATCACAAGTAGGCAGAGAGGCAGGCAGAGAGAGAGGGAAGCAGGCTCCCCATTGAGCAGAGAGCCCCATGTGGGACTCGATCCCAGGACCCTGAGATCATGACCTGAGCCGAAGGCAGCGGCTTAACCCACTGAGCCACCCAGGCGCCCTTTGCCTTTTCTGTCTCCAGAGTTGTCTTGACTGTTCTTGCCCTTTTTAATTTTTCATAACTTTAGAACCAGCTTGTAGAGTTATGCGAAAATAAAACAAAACCAGAAACCTCATTGGGATTTTTTTTTTCCTCCAGCATTTTATTATGAAAAGTTTCAAAATAAATGATAGAGTTTTACAATGAAGACCTTTATGTCCGCCTCTTAAATTCTGCCATTAACATTTTGTTATACTTGCTTTGTCACATGTCTATCCATCCCTGTATCAATCCATCGTATTTTTTGGATGCATTTCCAGGGAAATTGCAGACACTAGCTGTTTTATTTTTGTTATTTTTTATTATTTATTTATTAATTATATTTATTTATTATATATTTATGTATATAAATATATAGTTATATATTATATATTTATTATATTTATTATTATTTATTTTTATTTATTTTATTTTATTTTTGTTTATAATTTTATTGAAGTATATGACATTAGTATAGAATACCACACAAATTGTAAGTGTCCTGGTTGTTGAATTGTCACAGAGTGAATACTGTGTATAATTGCTACTTTGTGAGGAAATATTTCCAGTACCCCAAAACCACCCCGTGTGCTTCTTCTCAAAGTATTCCCTCTTTTTGCCCAAAGCAAACTACCATCCTGACTTGTAACACCATGAATTAGTTTTGCTAGTTTCTAAACTTCATGTAAATGGAATCATGCTATATATGTTCTGTTGCTGGCTTTTTTTTTTTTTTAAACAGTTTATTTATTTATTTTATTTGACAGAGTTCACAAGTAGGCAGAGAGGCAGGCAGAGAGAGACGGGGTGGGGAAGCAGGCTCTCTGCTCCACGGGAGCCTCTGTGGGGCTCGATCCCAGGACCCTGAGATCATGACCTGAGCTGAAGGCAGAGGCTTTAACCCACTGACCCACCCAGGCTTACTTTGTTTTAAAATTCATTTGTGTTGAATTGTGTGTGGCTCTAGTTTGTTTTCATTGGTATATAATTCATCTGTTTTATGATTATAGTGTGTAGGTATTTGGGTTTTTTTAGTTTGGGGCTTTTACGAATCATGCTGATATAAAATTCTTGTATGTCTTTTGGTGTACTTCTTGGGATTTTGATTGGAACATATCATTTGTAGGTTAGTGGGGAGAACACACATTTTACGTATTGGATACTAGTTTTATCTGTCCGTTAGTTTTATCTCTCCAGTTAATTAGGTCTTCTTTGATGTCTTTACACAGAGCTTTGCAATTTTCTCCATAAAGATCATGCAAATATTTTATTAGGTTTATTCCCAGGTGTCTTCTTTGGGGGGTAGACATTATCAGTGATATATTTTTATAAAATATTTTCTGACTGTTTGATGCTGGGGATTGAAATACCAAACTTTTTAAAAACTCCTGTGACTTTTCTACATTTGTGCCTTCTATTTGAGTTACCACTCTATCCCTACTCTTCTTGTCAACTCTTACCTGTCCTTCAGTATTCTGTTTGGGCATCACTGCCTTTGAGAAGCCCATCCTAACTCAGTCAGTGTTTGGTGTCCTTCTTTTGATTTGACAAATTACTGTTTATTGGAATACTTCATCACTATATTATAATTGGAATTCTCTTGTCAGCAACACAAGTGAGCCTTTGGAAACTGAAATCAGACCCTCTTATGCTTGTCACAATCCTCAGTGTCTTTCTGTGAGGGTTATGATGAAATCATATTTTTTGTTTTTTGCTTTTTTTCAAAGATATATCTATTTATTTTAGAGAGAGAGAAGGTGAGAGTGTGTACCCGTGAGCGGGAAAGGAGGCGCTGGGAGGAAGGGGAAGAGAATCCGTAAGCAGACTACCCCGCTGAGTGCGGAGCCTGACGCAGGGCTTGATCTTACAACCTTGAGATCATGATCCGAGCTGAAATCAAGAGCCAGCCTCTCAACCAACTGAGCCACCCAGGCGCCCCCATTATCATAGTTTTAATGACATGGGCCTGGTATCCTCTCTGACCTAATTTTTTTCTTACCTCTGTCCTCTTGCTCTACTCTGCTTTTGCCACATTGACTTTCTTGAACACATCAAGTATGTTCCTGTCCCAGGGCCTTGGTACTTGCTGTGCATTTACCGAAGTTCCTGCACAAATGTCATTTCCTTAGGGAAGCCTTCCTACCTGTCTTACCTAAAATGGCACCTCCCATTACTCTCTGTTCTCTGTTTTTTTTCCAAGCACTTATTATTATGATGTATGTATGTTTGTATATGTGTGTTTATGTTTATTGTCTATATTCCCCTGCCTTTGTTAATATGTTTCAGGAGGCCAGTTGGCAACCAATAAATATTTGTCAAATGAATAGATGAATGGTTTACTTGTTTGTTCCACTAGAGGCAAGAATTCTGTTTTTACATCCATAGCGGGCAATGTAACAGAAACTCAAAATTTTTATTTTGGGAAATAATGGACACTCAAGCATTTTTTTGGTCTTCTTTTCCCATTTTTTTTTAAGATTTTATTTTATTTATTTGACAGAGAGAGAGAGAGAGATCACGAGTAGGCAGAGAGGCAGGCAGAGAGAGGGGGAAGCAGGTTCTCACTGAGCAGAGAGACCAATGCGGGGCTCGATCCCAGAACTCTGAAATCATAACCTGAGCCGAAGGCAGAGGCTTTAACCCACTGAGCCACCCGGGTGCCCCTCTTTTCCCATTTCTAATTTCTGTTTTTCTCCCCCAAGGTGGCAGAGACTTCAGCTTATTTATACGCTAAGGGGAAAGAGTTAGTCCGGAGGGAAAGCTGAAGACAGAAAAGGAGAAAGGATAAACGAGGAGATATGAGA